TTGTCAGCATAGTAATATTCAAGTTAACAGAATAATGTTGCTGTAAATTTCAGTGCTTATTTCCAAAGATATTTTAACTTGGAAACTCTTTCTTTTTTATAGTCAGAACAGAAGTGGAAACAACTTGCTGAGCTTGCCATCAGTAAATGTCAGTTTGGCCTAGCCCAGGAGTGCCTGCACCATGCACAAGATTATGGGGGTCTGCTGCTTTTGGCCACTGCCTCTGGAAATGCTAGTATGGTGAACAAGCTAGCAGAGGGTGCAGAGAGAGATGGCAAAAATAATGTGGCATTCATGAGCTACTTTTTACAGGGCAAGTAAGTATTAATATAAGGTCTGCAAGACCTTGGTGAACATGTTAAAAAAGCAGTTATTTTATACTGACTTTGAGAATGGTTTTTGGAGAAGGATGTGAGGAATGAACCCTGGAAAGAGAACTGATGGGTGGCCAACTGGTATTGAATAGTGGGGGTATTGAACTTGGAGAAGGACAGTGCTGCCTTGGTGGCACTCACCTTCAGCAAGGGATGCTGTTCGCAATTTGGCCTAAATGTTTGAGCTAAGTGAACTGTTCCAGGAGGCTCAAATGGGAGAAACGTCGGATGCCTTTCACAACAGTCCTGCTAGTTAATGGCTGTGGCATTTTATTTTATGACTGCAGGAGGCTATTGAGTTGTTCAGTTGGTGCCTGAATGGCAAGTGATTTTACCCAAGTTGGATAACTTGATCTATTTATGGCAAGAATAAAGAATGAGGATGCCAACTACTTTTAGATGGGAGCTGAGGATGTCAGTTACTTTTAGATTGGAGCCCACTGTAAAGCATTAAAATGTCACATATTTCAAAGTCTAACAGAGTTAAGTGGAAACCAAATCATTTGGACACTAGTTGGCCATAATATGAAATAAAACACAAAATTATTCATTAACCTTGACCTACATACTTATTTTTAAAATCCCACACTTCATCATAAAACTTTGTGTACCCTAATATGTGTGTTGAGTGTACTAAATCTATATACCTGTAAGGCCCACTATTCCTTATTCGTAACTCAAAAATCCAGAAATATTCTGAAGACCGTTTTTTATAAATTTTTTTATGGCAAAACCTGACTTTAACTCTGTCGTACTCTTTTCAGTTTGTTTTTATGCCACTTGGTATGTTTTAATCACATTTAACATTCATGTGTTATTGCAGAAATATTAATGTTTGTAGCCTTTGTTTAATGCTGAGGATGTTACTTAACATATATGTACTGTATCACCTTTCAAAAATCCCAAAAAAATCAATTCTGAAACACATTATCCATTTTATAAAACTTGTACAGAAAAAAGTGAAATTAAAAACTGAAGGAGAAAAAAACACTTTGGTATTCTCTCCTGGGTGTCACTAAATTGTCTGTTGGAGACACTGCCCTATATATTCCACTTGTGAAACTGAAATTATGTTTGCATGTATCCTAACACCTTTAAAACTTACTAGCCTAACCTGCCTTATTTCCTCTTGAAAAGCCCCTTTAGGTTCTTCTTAGTTGTTAAAACTAAATTAAGTAGATTCAAAGTAGTCACAACAGCTATCTTATGCCTCATACCCTGGGAGTCTACTGATTATGTAACAACCATTAAAACAAGTAAATGACTCAGTGACAGAATTAAGAATCCACATTTCTTTGAGTTGTTAAGTGCCATTATGTTTATTCTTGGTAACAGTTCCTCTCCTTAACGTTTAGGCTTGATGCTTGCCTGGAGCTCTTGATTAGAACTGGACGGCTGCCAGAAGCTGCCTTCCTGGCCCGAACTTATTTACCCAGTCAGGTTTCAAGGTACAGACTTTTTATTTTAAGAAGAAATGTTTCAAATTAAAACAGCACACTTACTTAGTCTTTCTGGTTCCATGATGTCTATAATAGGGTAGTGAAACTCTGGAGAGAGAATCTCTCAAAGGTCAATCAGAAAGCAGCGGAATCCCTTGCTGATCCAACAGAGTATGAAAACCTTTTCCCCGGATTAAAAGAAGCCTTTGTTGTTGAAGAATGGGTGAAGGAAACACATGCTGATCTGTGGCCAGCCAAACAATACCCACTTGTCACAGTAAGTGGCTGGGGGCCAGGCTTCATTTAGTGTGACTACAGTGAGGAGGAAGTACATTCACACCTTCAGGTTTTAAACAGCACTAAATACATAATTGTTGGATTAAGAGCTAATGGGATTTAGGCCAAGTTCACAGGTGAATTGTGATTTCAGAATGTCTCATTTCATCATTGCTTTATTCTGTGCTAGCCAAATGAAGAGAGGAATGTTATGGAAGAGGCAAAAGGCTTTCAGCCCTCAAGATCTACAGCTCAGCAGGTCAGTAGAATGCTTCATGTGGTAATTTGGCTGAGATTGTTGCCTTTTAAGTACCATCTCCCACTTCCTTATCCTGGCCATCCTCCTTTTTGGGGAAAACTTTAAATTTGTGAGCAAATTCCTTTGTCTTCATACGCATCTCCACTTGGACTTTCAGGAACTTGATGGGAAACCTGCTTCTCCTACTCCAGTTATTGTGGGCTCCCACACAGCCAACAAGGAAGAAAAGGTAAGTCAGACATCATACCCAAACCTCCCTTCAGCCCCTGCCCCCCCCATAAGTATCTGCAGGATATACAGGCTTCTGTGGTTTAAGTGCAGTTTCAGTGTTTCAGAGCAGGAGTTTTGAAATGGGAAGATGCTCTTTTTAACCATTAAGAAGTTTAGTTCTCACTTTGGATCATGAACCACAAACAACTTTTCTTTAACACAGTATATAAAACTTAATCCCGCTTCCTTTTGTTTGCAGAGTTTACTCGAACTAGAAGTAGATTTGGATAATTTGGAATTGGAAGATATTGACACAACTGATATCAATCTGGATGAAGATATTTTGGATGATTGACTGTAATGTTTTCATGTACCCAACTAAACAGATCATTATTTGTATAGTTATTGATCGCCACCCAGACCACAGTGCTTTGGACTATGAGAAACTCCTTAGATTTTTATATGTAAAAGCTGTGGACCACCAGGAGTAAATGTCCTCCTCATCTTAAGAGGAGTTTATGTGGAACATTGAAATCAATCACTGTTTTCCTTGTTAACTAAAAAAGACATGGGCTCTGATTTTTTTTTTTCATACTGTCATTAGACTGTATCTCATAAAACCTTTTGAATTAATGAAGATACTTCCGTTTCCTTTCTGAATACTGAAAACAGGCTTCTAGTTTTAGAATGGTGAGTCAAAACTTCATCTTACCTAAGGATCAGCCCCATACTCCCTTTTCTTTGCATATCTAAATCTGCCTATTCAAATACTGTCAATTACATTTTTCTTAGAACTGAATATCCATGCTATAATTCTCTAAACTCTTTTTCTTGGCCTTTCATCCCATTCACTCTGTAGCTTGGATGGCATGAGTTCTTACACCTTGTCCCAATTTTGTCTAGTAACTACTGATTCCTAGAATCAGGATTCAAAACCTTTGTTCCTCATTAAGCTGGGCTCTAAATTACCTGTTGGCCGATTTGGTAACACTGAAAGGTACAGTACTTTTTTTTCTTTACTGCACATTCACCTAACATGACTAGTAAAATTCATAGTAAGGCACTCAAATATATTTTTCAGTTATCCCCTTTTAGCCTAGAAAAGTGAGTAGGATGACAGGTTTTTCTTATAGAGAGAACTATAAATCAGTGCCTTTTAATCCTGGTATTTTTAAACAATGAGCTCAATAGTGACAAAGAGAAAGGTAGTCAGTATTTAGTAAAATAAATATATTTTTAAAATATTTTCAGGAAGCCGCAGAATGACTGATGAAAGCTTCTTGATACGTCTGCAGTGTTAACTCTATATATGCTCCCCTCTGTGCTTCTGTTTTTGCAAAGACCTGTTTAAATTTAAAAAAAAAGTTTTAAAGCCAATAGAACGTATAAAGTTTTCAGTTTTAAGACATTAACATTTTTGTAGTAGCAGAGGCCCAGTTAAAAAAGTCTTCCAAGTTTCACATTTCCCCCTTGATTATACAGTAGTACACATACATGGACAGAAAAACAGTATCCAACACAGTTCAAGCAATATTCATTCTAAACACCAGAAGAATCCTAATATGGCTGCCATCTCTTTTAGCTTGTTTTTAAAAAAAATAGATTCTGACATTGCAATTCCTGCTACATCAAAAATGAAAATCATTAGGTTAGCAATCTGGAGGATAGGAATTTGTTTTGTCCTAAAGCATTTTGCTTTATCTGGCTATCACAGAAAATCAGAATTGGTAATGTGGTTTCTCTCTATGCTCCTAGGGTGTCACCATGGGCCATTTTTATCCTTAGTAGGCAATATAACTGCTTTGTAGTATGCAAACAGTATTACTGGGATAGAAACCAGTTCCACAAAAAGCCACGTCTATCCTGAGCATCAGAAGAGATGGAATTAGATGATCACCTCCTTCCTTTCCTGAAAAGTCATCTCAACTCTCAGCATTTACAGATAAATTGATGTAAGCTCATGGTTTTGAGAGGTGTACAGTTCCAAAATGAAGACAACTAAAACTTGGTAATGTCCAAACACCACCCTCTCCCCTTCTTGACACTCCCATTTCTCCCAGTGTGATGTGACTGCACGGGACAGGAAACTGCTCTTGGGGACATGTGCTATGTACTTAGTCCTCCACTGTCTTGTTGGTGACTTGATCATGCAGATGCAGCTCAGCGCTTCGTGCTCCAAAGAAGGGAGCTGCTCCCCCCACTGTCTGAACTCTGGACTCCCTCCGCCGGCATGCCCCCCACGTGACCTACTTGACTGCACTCCTCCCCACCCTGTTTCTTTTGTCCAGGCTGAAGATACGGAAACTAATCATCATGATGTTTCCAAGATCACTAGTGTCCCAATGCACAAATGTTTAGTTACCATTAAATATGACCCACTTCTGAATTTTTTCCAACTCAGTTACCAGCATAAAATAGCCTATGTGAAAAAAGACTCTTTACCTTAATTAAATTTACTCCATCAGCAGCCTGATCTTTGGCCTCTCGAGCTGACTGGCCGTCTGGATGGAGTCTGTGGTATAGCTGGACCAAGCTGGTGGCATCCTCAATTCTGAGAATGAAAGGGCTTAATGTCACCCAGGGGCTTTCTTCATTTGCCTCAGTCATATAAAACTGTGTGCCAACTTCAAACTAAGTTACATTTCAGAATTTCCTCAGGCTGGGGGGGTGGGGAAGTATAGAAGGGGAATCGTCTGTTTTACAGTTTCAAAAGCATTTTCAGGAAAATTGACTAATTTAGGCCTCACAGCAACTCTGTGAGGCAGGTAGGGCAGGAGTCGCTGCAGGAAGTGCTCAATTTATGAAAGTGAATATATTCCAATTGTAGCTGTGTTGGGAAAAGAACACCATTTCTCACTGAAACAGCACTCCTAATGGTAGATGATTTCCAAGCCAGCCCACTTTATCATCATGTCACAGCTGAATCCAACTCAGTACAAAGATACAGCTTCATTCCACATTCGCAGAGGGTTGGGCAGTCACTGGGATCCCAAAGTCACTTGCCTTTAGTGTTACCTGCAAATTAATTTTTTCATCAAGGCTGAATTAGTAGATAAATTCCTCCACAAGGGGCCCCCTAGGATTTCAAGGAAAGACTCCTGGGCCACCAGACTATTCACAGGAACGCATTAGTTAAAACTTAGCATCACAGTGAAGCAAAATTGAAATTATGCATATCAGACAAAAAGGAAAGTCAGATTCTTTCTGCAGCAGTCTGTCCAACTTTGGTCTTGTCACACAACTACCTATGATGAAGCCAGGATAATAATTCCATTCTTCTGGTTCGTACTTACTTTTTTAAGAGATATATGCAAAACTTTTATCAACATTAAAACTTCTCTAGCCTTCCCCAAACCAATCACCATCTTCTCACAGTTAATAACTCCCTACCATTTGCTACCTCAAAGCTGAGGATTATATAAAACAATGCTTCCAAAACGTTCGTGCTTCTGAAGCTCTGCTCTATACACTTATTTAGTGAGCTACTGGATTCTAGTTGGGGGTGGGGAGTGAAAGCACTAATTCAGTGCTTTCTCTGGCTTTCATTCTTTGACCTTCCCTGCTTTCCCATTACCTGAGTTGGAGGATAAAGGAGGGTGACAGTGCGAGTAGGTACAGATTTCCTCAAGCCCCGATGGCCTTAGAGAAATGTTCCGGTCTTATCCTAAGGGCCCATCTACCCTAAAGGCCATCCCTTGGAAGAACCGAGAAACCAGAGCTGCCTGTATAACAAAACTTTTTGGAGCCAGGGGGTAGGGGAGGAAGAATAAAAAACGTTCATTACAAATTGATTGTGCTTGTTATCTAACAAAATTCAATAAATATAGCAACAAAATATCTCCCCAATAAAAAATTAATCCATTTGATGCCTAGGCATGTAGTCCTATAAAAAGCTTACCTGGCTTTCTACCATTAATAATCATGTTTAGGGCTTCATTAGGTTCATGCTGAAATGTAATGCCTGCATCTCACAGAACAATTTAGATTCAGCTTAACACCAAGCCCATACTTGAAATTAAGAGCAAATAAATTTATATTTTCAAAAAGATTTTAAAAGGATCTCAATACAAAACCAACAGTGGGATTTGAATCTAAATGTGTGTACAGAATCCAAATTCTTGCCTGGGCTCCATTTGATAAGAATGTGCACCCTCTACTGTCCAGCCTGGGGTTTGCAGTAAGCTTACCTTCCTGTTGAGCGTTTCCACAGGAGGGGTTTTACATAGGCACAACAGGAAAGGTTAAGTAAGGACTCAAACCTCCCTCCCAGTATGCATGAGCCACTACACATGTAAAGCTTACATATGATGAGTAACACTATAAAATCATATTAGCATACCTCAATAAAGAACTTTAATTTTCAAACTTAAGGATTTGTGTGTTGCTCTGATTTTTCACAAAAACATTGTGTTAATAATTCAATGTCAGAATGATTACATTTGAGAAATGTTGCAAGTGGAAAACTCATTCACAGGAGACAATGCACATAAAGGCAAGTCACTTGAGCATACCCTTCACCACCAGCCCCAACTTTGGGGTTATGAAGGGAAGTTCTGCCCTCTGATTTTGATTACATGCTGGTGAAATGGGCTGGCCTGGAAATTACCCCCATCAGGAATGCTGTCTCTATGAGAAACGATGCCCTGTTCTCAAGTGTGGGCTGCACTTGGAACCTTCCAGTTCCAATGTCTTGCCTTTGTATGTAGTTTGGATAGATGTAGGATGCTAGAGAGTCAGCAGTACAAAGGTGGCAATAACTACCAGTGGCGCTAACCTTTCTTGTGGTTCAGACTTTTAAAGTCCCACTAGGGCTTTTCACGGAAAGTTGACTTAACTACGGTCATGCTGGTTTCCTTTCCTTGTCATTTTGGCCTTCCTAACCCAACAGATACAAAGGTGTTCAAAAGTAATTTTCTCACCAGATGTAAAGTATACTACTATTTCCAGCTAGAAGCCTGGGAATACACCAACTTGATGCTAAAATACAAGACATTCTTTGTTTCATGCTACTTTGAAAAGTTTTTTGATGCCTTAAAAAAACCTTGCAAAAGCAGGGGATATCAAAAACAAAAGTATTTTTGTAAGTTAAATGATGACTTTTACTGAAAAGCACTAGAAATCGTTCTACCAGAAAATAAGCACCAGAACTTATGTCTACTTCTTTACGTTTCCTATTTAATCCTCCTTTGAGCTTCTGGAAAGTTCACTGATACCAGGAAGCATTGGCAAACCCAGGAGAAGTAAATATGGAGGGTATACAGAACAGATCCAAAGCCACGTATTCTTTCAAATAATCTAGCCCTGTTTATGCAACACAAAAGCAAAGCCTAGGAAAACTCAGTTATGCTAGAAGAACAAACCCATACATAAACTGAGGTAAATGAAAGCTTCAGTCTACCAGTGGACAATACACTGTTATCACTGGAAAAATACCACAGCTTAAATACAGATAAAGTCTTTGGGCAATAAAAATGGTTCTTTTACTTACTAAGATCATACTTACAAATCCCTCTGAATCTGGTCAATCAGCAAACCATCTATCTTCTTCTTATTTATAAAATACCAAGCCATTCCACCAAAGTGTCTTGTTGAACGTAACAGGTCATACTTTCCGTGTTTATCTATATCTTCATAGGTCTGATGATGAACCTATCCACATGAAATGCAACTTTTCAGAACATGAAAATAAACACTACTTGGTATACACTGACTAGCATGAGTGCTGCTCAAAGTAAAACCAGGTCTACTTACAGCTGCCTCTATCATTAACCACTAGGCTAATAGTTTAATAATTTAAACTATTCCTAGTACAACCCACCTTACGTGGGAAGGAGGGTTCTATTAAGAAAGGAAAATTTGGCACTTTCCTTTTTGAGACTTGCCCGTGCCAGGCCTTTCTGGCATGAAACTCTCACTTGTCTTTTATTTCTTCTTTCTGTAATAAACTTTGCTTTTAAAGTTAAAAAAAAAAGCTGGGCTCGGTGGCTCAGCCTGTAATCCCACGCTTTGGGAGGCCGAGGTAAGTGAATTGCCTGAGCCCGCGGGTTCGAGACCTGCCTGGGCAACTTGGTGAGACCTCATCTCTACAATAAATCAAAAAATTAGCCGGGCGTGGGAGCGCACACCTGTAGTTCCAGTTACTTGGAAGGCTGAGGCGGAAGGATCACCGGAGCCCAGCAGGCCGAGGCTGCGGTGGCCGGGAGCAGCCACTGCACTGCAGTCTGGGTGACTGAGTGAGACTCCAAAAAAAAATCTTTTAAAAAAAAAGCAAGAAAGAAAAATTTGCTGGGTGCAGTGGCTCGTGCCTGTAATCCTAGAACTTTGGGATGTCAAGGTAGGAGGATCACTTGAGGCCAGGAGTTCAAGACCAACCTAGGCAATATAGTGAGATTCCATTTCTAACAAAACCAAAAAAAATTTTTTTAATTAGCCAGGCAGGTAGCATACGCCTAGTCCCAGCTACTTGGAAAGCTAAGACAGGAGGATCACTTGAACCCAGGAGTCCCAAGCTATAGTGAGCTATGATCACATCACTGTACTCCAGCCTGGGTGACAGAGTGCGCAAAAAGAAAGAGAGAGGAAGGGAGGGAGGGAGGGAGGGAGGAAGGAAGGAAGGGAGGGAGGGAGGGAGGGAGGGAGGGAGGAAGGAAAGAAATCTGTCTAAATGACTAAGTCTGTGCTTTTTCCACTATAGAAGTATGTGGGGCAGCCTGGAGCATAGCCATATCGATTACTTTTCAGCCAAGCAACATTTAAATAAGCACCTATTGCAACTATATAGACCACCACTGGAAATAATATTCTACCCATTTTTTTGGTCACAAGGGGAGAAAATATATCAGGAATATTTTTTTCACTTCTTTTTCTCCTATCCCATCAACTATTCTGTTCCATCAGCTAGCCCACTCCATCTTACTAACTGATGCTCCTTCATTTCTCCTTCCAGATTAATCTTTCTAAATAAGGACTCTGATAAGGGCATTCCACAGTTCAAAAGGCTTTCAAAGGCCTGATGACTGAAATCCAGATTCCTCAGTCACCTGTGTAAGTATGTAAGGTCACCTATGATGTGGCCCTTTCACCTTTCTGGCTTAATCTTGAACCATTCCCCTAAATATACATTGCATGTACAAGCAAGCCAGATGATTGGCCATTTCTCAAACATACTCTGTTACTTCCTGCCTGTTGCTCATACTGTTGTCTACCTGAAACACCTCACCCAACTCCACCTGCCACAATGTTCCCTGTGCTTCAAAGACCCCTGTGAGGCCTTTCCTCAGAGCACCCAGCATTTTAGGCCTAAGAAAGTAATTACCTATATATTAACTTGGTACCCTTCCCCACAGTCATATCTGGACTGCTGGCTTTGACACAGCACACCCTAACCTAGGTTCATGGCATGACCTATACTACTCATAATACCTTACACAGTGAATACTTTCTTAATGAATACTTACTGAGTTGTAAGACACATTGCACTTGGCAAATTTTAGTAAATAGCTTTGTTCCTATATGGCAAACTGAAAACAGAATAGGCTTTGTCATCAAGTTTGGATCCTAACCCTATCACTTATTAGCTATACAACTTTTAGCAAGCTATTCAACCCTTCAAGCTTAAATTCCCTTATCCTTAATAAAGGATTGTTTCAAGGATAAAATATATATGTCCTCTATAGATTTCCAGATTTCTCCCATATCAAAGCTTATAACCAAACTCGCTGTGCTGGATTAAAAATCTTACTCATAACCATACTTAAGCCTGTATTTTAGAAACTATAGAATATACTCACCTTGATATACTCAGTAGAATCTGGCTCAAACTGGGCAACACAGAGATTGAGAACATCAGCATGTCGGTCCTGACTATACATAGTCTAAAACCACAAAGCAAACATGGAATCAGATAAGAAGAACATAAAGTTCAACACTTGTCCTGAAACCATGACAAGCCTGCCCATCTACATACTAGCCACACTTGTGCTCATCAAGAAGCATAAAGAAAGAACACAGGCTCTGTAATTATCACACGTAGATTCTAATCCTAGGTAAGCCAATTATGAGAGAGAGAAAACTCTAGTCAAGTGACCATCAGAAATAATGCATCTGTGTTTATCAAGGCAAAATGCCAAGCAGCACCAGAGCCAATTGATTCAACAAATAAGTCATCACTACTGACTCTAAAATATAAAACCTAAGATTTAAATAAAATATAAAGCCTAACCTTACCCTAAGATTTTCTTCCTTGAAAATTACTGGCAGCAAAACTCTACGACCTTCTTTTGGGAAATAAATTTGTATCATCCGGTCCCGTTCTTCCCAAGATGCTTTGCGTAGTGTGCCACTTGGTTCTCTGACAACAATAAAACGCTCCTCAAATAGAAAATATAAACAAGGATAAGTTTGTGAAGACACATTTTTACTTCCTATGTCCCACTAAGACCATTACAAAAATAATTTTCAATCAACAATATAAAGTGCAACTAGGAAGCAATAAATGCAATCATGCATATGAGTTCAATAATTTTAAAACATAAAGATTTGGCAAGGTTTGATACTTCCTTCAACTTTCTTCACTAATCACTGCTGTGCATCTGACAATCAGACATCTAAAATGAAAGTATTCAGTAAGTACCAACTATGGTGTTAACATGAGTTCAATACATAATAAAATGGTTCAACTTAAAAAAGCTGAACTGAGATTCAGCTAAACCCACTTTAGAGGAAAGAAGTGCTATAAGACCTTCACAACTTATTTCACTGCCCCGTTCCAAAGTCTGATCTAAACAGATTTTACTACTTTATGATCTGTGTTTAAAGTCCTTGAGATAAAAGGAACAAACCCAAAAATGTGCAGTCAATTCTGCACCTCCATGATTTCTCATATTGGCTTTAGACATAAACATGTCAGAGAGACTGACTGGTCCACCTGCCCTCTGGTCACTTCATTGCTCCAACTGCCAAATCCCAGGTCATGGGATTGCCTCCTCCTCTGAATTCCACCCACTGTTTATACCATTCAGATGGCAATATATCATGTGCAAGGTTTTTGACACCTCTCAGATATTGTTATATAACTGGAAAAGGGCGGGAAATGTGAATCATAATTCTCTGCAACACCAGAATGCATACACGGAGCTTTGCATATTGCTGATAATTCATACACACCTAATGTATAAATTAACCCGATGGTACTGAGGCTCAAATTTTCAGAGGTGTATGAGTCTTTCAATATGTTCTGACAATAAAATAATTAAAACTTTCATCAAACACTGCCAACAGAAAAAAAAATTAGCAGATGCCAAAATAACACAATGTTTCCTCAAAAGGATTTTGATAATTTGAGAAACCTGAACTCCAAGTTCCTTCTTGTCTCCCAAGTTATAAAATGCTCCCACAACCAGTCTTCATGGCATTGCAAATATGTATTAAAACACCACAAAACAAAAATTCTCATTAAAACGGAATCTCTCTGATCCTCGCTCTTTATGTCAGGTGTGTAGATGGCTGGTATGTAGACATGGACACAGTTCAACTCATGTCTTCTAACCATAATCATATATAATAAAAGACTGATTAACACGAGGTGGCCCTTCTCCCAAACTCAGCATTCAGTACTCTAATGCATTTTGTGGGCTGAAGTGTAAATTACTCTCCTTTTATTCTTTACTTGCAAAGGCTCAAATACAAAACTGATATATTTTTCAGTGCCAGAGTGTTCTTTTTAATTGGCAATGAGGGAAAGAGGAGCCAGGGAATAATAACTACAACAGAAGAGATGATGTCTGAAAATTATCTCAGAAACATCTCACATTCTTACTGAAAATTCTAGAAAGTGAAAATCTTTGGGAAGTCTGAGTTTCTTGGTATCACCAAGGAATCTACAAGAGAAAAACATTCTTCTCAAAAGCTTCAGCTAAGGAAATCAGTCTAACTCAGGCAAAAATAATCTCCTTCCCCCACTGTCTTGTAGATTTTTGTCCATTTGTGGTTTGGGGGTGGGTTTCTGTCTGTCTGTATACCCCTTGTTCTATCTCCGCAGATTTGTCTCTTTGCAGTCAATCTAGAATATGCTTTCTATTACCTGTAGGGCAATGGGAACATAATGACGTGGGGTTGGTCTGCCCTGCTCATCCTCCTTATACTGTACCTTCCAGAAGGGTCTCACCTAGTCAGACAAATTCTGGTTCAGAAGCATCAGATACAGCCAGGTCATGCTGTGCCTTGGCCCATCTCCACACAGTGTTTCAAACAAAGACCATTTTTCAATTAAACATATACTCACCCGGTGTGGTATGCTATAAGATATATCAGTAAACACATATTTGGCTGTTTCTGTTCCTTCCAAAATTTTATCTTCAGCTAACACGTCATTTATTGGGACTCGCTCTTCCAGAACCGGTGGCATTTTTAATCGTACTTTAGCTGCCTCAACTGCCTGTCTCATAGCCTATGAAATAAAATATTTATTAAGGAAAGCCACAAGGTTACATACCAAAAGGATCATCTGATAAAAGCAGATACTAGTTAAAAATGCTAAAAGCTGCAACCAAGCTGTAGCCACAAATCAGTGAGTAAAATGTCAAACCTAGACTGCTGAACCCTGGCCTTTGCCTCTGTGGTATAGCTGAGACTACACAGGCTCAATCTTTATCAAAACCTCAAAGGAATGATCTGAGACACAGCTAGGCCACAAAAGCTGCCTGAGATAGAATGAAGGATTACATTTACTGGATGCTTACTATATGCCAGGTATTATTCAAATATTCTGAATGTATTTGGCTTACCTAATGCCCACAGCCTACCTTATAAGACAGGTGCTATTGTTATCATCTCTATTTTATGGAAGAAAAAAATAGAGGCACACATGTTAAGTATATTGCTAGGAAGTTGCAGCACCAATATTTGAAGGTGGATAACCCAACATCAGAGCCCATGTTCTTAACAACTAACTACTACAGTGCCTCATGTTATATTGTTAACAGTGGTTACCTATGACAGGTGAAAGGTGGGCTTTAACTCTTCACATGATCCACTGTCGGATATTTTTTGCGTGTGTTATGACTATACATTACTTATGAATCATAAGGAAGAATATCAATGCTTCTCATGTTCACAGGTCAAAGTGTTTTCCACAAATGACTCAGTACCCATGGCTCCAGGAGAACACTGGTGCCTGGAGTAGGATGCTGTTCAGCAGAAGCTCATAATCTCACTGAAGCTTCAGCCTCAAGGCAGCTCACAGCACACAGCTCACAGCACATATTTCTCCAGGAAGGAAGCTGGAGCAGGCAGGAAAAAGGAGAGGTGCTCAGGCTCTTTGGGAGCAGAGACTCTCTGGACACCCAGACCTGCTCTATATGCCTCTCAATCCTGGCCGTGCTCCCTGCTCCTTGATTCACTCTTCTTCTCTCTCTTCTATGCCTGACACTCCCCTCATGAGTGCCTGTAGAAAAGCAGCTATAAGCATCTAGAGTGGTCTCTGGAAATCATGCATAACTCTTTAAAGAAAGGCATTCTAACAATATTCCTGTATTTACATACCTCTTCCAACTGTGCCTGAGTCATTAGCTTATAGGTTGGTGGCTTCAGGTCTTGTATAGCTGGCTTAAAAGTCTTCTGCAAGTTCAAGCCTGTCATCTTGGTGAGTATGCTTTGGACTTCCTCATCCATAAATGTAGGTTTCTTGATCACGGAGCTACCAGATTCTGCTAAAATGGACTTTAGTAAATAAGAATCCGGCAAAAATGACAAGCCAACAAGACCTCTAAATAGAAAAGTAAGTTAACAATAAAAACCATTAGCACAAAGTCTACCTCAGCACTGCAAAATGCTAACACCTATAAGATTCATTCGTTCCTTCATTTAAGATTTACTGAGCATTCATTATGATGAAGACATAGGCTCAATCTCTGCCAGAAGGACAGGCTACTGGAGGAAGCAACAGGAAAGAAGTAATCAATGGCTGCTATCATTTAGAGTTGTCTCCTGTGTACTAAGTAAAATCGACAATTTCAGAAATACTTTCAACAACCCACAAAACAGGTCCTGATATTCTAATTTTATCAGTGAGAATGGTGAAGCCTACTCAAAGACAATTAGCTATAAAGTGAAAAAGCTCAAATTTAAACCAAGGCTTGTCTGCTTCTGGAGCCTAGACAGCTTCCAGTCAACCATGATGCTCCTCTGTATAAGTGCTACAGACAAGAGAGGCTTGTATGATTGCCGAGGAAGGAACTACACATAACATGGGACTAGGGACAGGCATGATAGGGTCAAAGAAAGCTTCTCAATGGCCTCAGTAGGACAGAGAAAAAAAGGAAGAAAAGTCTAGGCTAAAATGTTGAAGCTAGGAAACAGAGGCTTGGATCACTAGACATGATACTGAAGACATCATGTGGTATCATGGAAGAGCCTTAGACAAGAGGAGCCTCAAATCTCAGCTCTCGCCTCATGCAGCTTGCCTACTGCTTTGCCTAACTCCCATTTTCATTTCCATTATGAAAAAAGAGAGAAAAAGCCCAATTGTTCCTAGTCAACTCTTCCCCTGCCAGGAGGCATCCTGTAAATGTTGGTATCTCTCAGGATTCAGATCTGTCTTTTGCTTCCTTCTCACATTCTCACTGGATGGTCTCTCCTAGGCTCCCATGACTTTAATTACCTTTATATACTGGAAACTCTAAAATCTGAATCTCCAGCCAACATCGTCTTCCACTACCCAGTGGACATCTCACATGTACTTCAATACTGCCAAATCAGAACCCATCAACCTTCTCTTGTCTCAAACCAGCTTTTCCAACTGTTCCCTATCTCAGCATTATCCAGTAGGTCATGCAGGCCAAAAATCTTATGGTCATTCTTAACTTCTCTCTTACCCTCCAGATCTAGCCAATAGCAATAGTAATAACAATCATAATGAAATAACAGTAGTAATGATAACAGCTAATATTTATTAGAAATGTATTATGTGCCAGAAGTAAGTACTTTACATACACAGCACATTTAATCCTCACAACAACACAATTATCCTCATTTTACAAAAAAGAACACTGACACAGAACATACTCATTGTTATCGCTCATATATCTCTTTTTAATCCTCCACTTCCCACTGCCACTACCCTAGTCAAAATCATCCTATCTCTTGCCTTAGCCTCCCTGCCTCCATTTTTGTCCTACTACAGATCATTCTCTGTAGAGCAACAAGAGCAAACTCTTGAAAATATAATCAAGATCATTCCCAAGCTTAAGATTCACCAATAACTTCCAACTTTATTTAGAAAACAATTAAGGTGGTCTCCATACTTCACTGTCTCCCACTAGACAATGTTCTCTAGGAAGACCAGAACCCTGTCTTATACTCATCTCTGGCACCCCGGGTCCCTCAGTATCCAGCACACAGCAGGTGCTCAGCACTATTGTCCTCTCAGATAATCTCACCTATTTTTACTCCTCAATGTTTCTCACTTTATTTCTAATTCCATACTGAACACTTGAATCTCAAAGTCACCTCAGATTCAATATGTCCAAAAACAGGTTTAATTCTTCCTCCTTTCTCATCTCCTGACCTCATATAATCCTGCACTGTCCCCTACCCCCAGAATAAACCCAGTTCCTACAGTTAATCTTCTCCCACTTGGTATAAATGGAACAACCTTCTAATCAACTACTCAAGCCAAAAACTTAACAAATAACCGTGATTTTTCTTAAACCTAAATCAAAAGCCACAACCAAGCGTTAACAATCCTAACTCCAAAATGGGCCCCCCAAATACCTACGTTCAGTCTCATTTCTGGACATTTGCTTATTCTGTCTCCTCCGCTTGAAATTCATCTTGCTTTCTCCTTAGCATGGTTAACCAGGTCTCAGTTTGAGTCAGATTTTCCAGGGACCCTTCCCTGCCCTTCCAATCTAGTTTGAGTGCCTCTCCTATGTGCGACCCCTATGAAAGCCCAGGGCGCCCTACACTGTCAATTCCCCAACGGACCATGAGTTTTCTCAGGGAAGAGTCCGTGTCAGCCTGCCATATCCCCCGAGCTTTATTAGCACAGCGCTCTGCAAGGAGCGGAGCTCAGGCACGGTTGGCTGGGTGAATGAATGAATGAATGAACGAATGTGGGTGGTGACAAACTCTGCAAGTACAGAAGGAAGTCAACTTCCTTCCTCGTGGTTTTCGCCGGCCAGAATCAAGTCCTAGGTCTCCCAGCAGAATGCCCCAGCCAGCGTCTGGAAGGTCACTTACCGGCCTCAGAGCCGAGCTGACGGCGTGGCAACACCACCACGAAGGACCTGGGCAGCGGCTGGAGCAGGGCACCAGGCCGGGACTGCGTTCGGGCCCGGAAATAGACCCGCTTCGTGCCCCGAGAAACTGTCATGAGACCGCACAGGGACACGGGGCTTCTGAGGGCCGCCATGATTACCCGAGGGCACCGGTGCCGGAAGTAACTGGGAGCAACTTCCGGGCCACACCCAGTTCTTGCAGCATTCTGGGAAATGTAGTCTAGCTGGAGGCGAAAAGGGCCCGAAGACTTTTGGACCTTTGTGAATTGTCTCCGAAAGTGCCTATTCACAAGTAGGTGTGTTTATGTCCTTCCCAAAGCACAGAGCTGAAGTTAAAACGTACACCTTTTCTCTTAGAGCCCCTTTCCCCAGGTCTTTTATTCGTTCCCATGGTTCTAAGCCTTTTCTCCCATCCCCGAGTTTCATTCCAACTACCTATTCAACTTCATTCAGGCTTACGCGCCTTAAAGCTAACTCCTGACCCCGAGCCCTGTTTACCACCACCACCCCTGCCACCGCCACCAGTTCATACACCGGATTCTCTGTCTCAGAACTTACTCCTTTCCTTTACAGCCATTTTACGATGTGTGATTATTTTGTTCATCTATCTGCTTATTTTTCTCACCCCATGAAGACAATGATTCTACATATTTTATTGAAATATCACCCAGTCTAATATTTCTATATGCACAGCAAACACGTGTTGAATAAATGATCGATTAAATGCGTCTCTTGTGTTCTTTCCCCACTGTCCAGTATTTGCAAGTCTTATCCTCCTAGACTGTAGGTCGGTACCTGTGCTACAGCACTTATCCAAGGCCTGGCAAAAGGTTAAGTACACACTTGTTTGAATTAGCTGAATAAATAGGCTCCCTTTCTAACCTCACCTCTTTTCCCCACTCCCCATTAAGAGTGCTGTTTATAAACTCATTGTGTATTTTAAGAGGGGAAGTGAACTGGCAAGCCATCCGGAGGAAGCCAAAGGGGCCATAACAATGGTCCAGAGGAAGGGGGTCCCTGCCTAACCATTTTTTTTCTCTCTCTCTCTTTCTCCTTGCAATATCTGCTTCTGTAAATAGCTTGCTTAAGCCCCCACTACCACCCGGGCTATACTGCACGCCCACAAAAATATAAACTGCACGTACGCGGAAATGAAACTTGATATAAGGCAAAGCTCACAAGCAGACGGGGTCCCAGGACTTAGGCATGAGCCCCCTGGGCCCGCCGGCGTAAACAAACGTGTTCTCCTCACATTCCGGAAGTGCTGCTAGTCTCTAGACTGCAGGAGTCAGCTCTGCCGCAACAGAAGGGGGAAAAAAAAATAGAGGAAGAAAGAGCACTAGGCTGACTGCCTATTCAGGCATGACTACTGTCCTGCATTTTGCAAGGCTTCCTCTCACACCTGCATGATAGCAGGTGTCAGGGAGCAGTAGTAGGATGCATGCAGGAGTCTCCTAGCTCATGCTTTTTTCTCTGAAAATCAACCATCTTCCTCCTCATAGCTAAGAAGGCACACCTCAGTGGCTGTTTTTCCTGTAATCATCCCCCGGGACAATGTAAATATCCTCCCTATTGGACAATGGTGGACATTTAACACAGGAAAATGAATCCACTGGCTGCTGTCTTTGTTTCTTGTGGCTGCTCTAACATCACCAGAGATTTAGGGACTTAAAATACAGAAATGTGTTCTCTTGCAATTCTGTATGCCAGAAATCTGAAATCATTATTACTGGACTGTTATCAACAGATTGGTAGAACCCTCCTCCTTTCAGAGGTTCCAGCTCTGGGGCAGACTCTGCCCCTTGTCACTTCCAGCTTCTGGTGACTATAAGCATTCCTTGGCTTGTGGCTGCATCACTCCAGTCTCTGCCTCCATGCTCACTTCAGCTTCTCTTTTGCTCCTGCCAAATCTCATTTGCTTTTCTCTTATAAGGATGTGCGTGATTGCATTTAGGGCCAGCCCTATTTCAAAATCTTTGACTTAATCACATCTACAAACATTCTGTTTTCATATAAGGTAACACATTCATAGGTTCCGTGGATTAAGACAGAAAGGGTAGCTGGGCTCGGTGGCTCAGCCTGTAATCCTGAGCCTTTGGGAGGCTGAGGCGAGTGGATTGCCTGAGCCCGCGGGTTCGAGACCTGCCTGGACAGCAAGACCTCATTTCTACAATAAAATCAAAAAATTAGCCGGGCGTGGTAGCGCGCGCCTGTAATTCCTGCTACTCGGAAGGCTGAGGCAGAAGGATCGCCGGAGCCCAGTAGGTCGAGGTTGCAGTGGCCGGAAGCGGCCACTGCACTCCAGTCTGGGCGACAGAGTGAGACTCCAACTCAAAAAAAAAAAAAAAAGACAGAAAGGGTAAACTGAGGCAAGGTGGACCGATGCCACAGAAATGAGGCAAATAATTGCAAAAGAGAAACAAGCAAAATTTATTATTCACTTACCACAGACAGAAAGGGGCCAGCACTCACAGGCAAACATGGCCTTGAAGGCTAGGGAACTTAAAGCTCTTGGAGAGGAGTTTGGACTAAGGGGAATGTTTAAAGTTGCACTTTTTGATGTAATAACAGAAACCACATAAGTCTTGTGTCTTGACATCACCAGGCAACAGTATCTCATGACTCCAGGAGGTGGGCTGGAGTAAACAAACAATAATATATCAAGGCCAGAAGCACAGATACCTTGAAAAATGTTGGCTGCTTCCTTTCTAGTTGGTTACAGTTTTTGCTTATTCCAGGAGTTCTGGTTCACAAGGATTGATTAAACATTATACATAAAATTAATACAAAGACATAAAAGAAAGCCATTGTCATTTGGAAACTAAGAGAACAGATACATTTCTGGGTGTTAGAAAGTTTCCACAGACCCCATTTCTTATCTAGGTATGACAGAGGCGTTTCCAGGGACATGCATCCTTTTGTGTGTGTCCTGCTTAATCAGGTGGCTCAATGAAGATGGTTGTGTTCCCTTCAGTACTAGCAACAGTTACTAGATCCAAGGACAGTGAATGGGGAGATGAGGAAAAAAATGTTCACTTTTAAATGCAAACAGCTTCTATGTTTAGCCCAACTCAGATTAATACAAGTTTCTTCCCAAGCCTTTTAGTCAGGAATTTGGGTGAGAATAATTAGGACTGAACAGGCTTTGGGTGCTTAGAACAATCATCAGGTTTTAACCCCGGGAGTGCCAGTTTTGTCTCTTGCTAACAATCAGCAGAACTGCTCAGCAAAGTGAGACAAGGCTAAAGCTGAAGTTAAAATGGCTGCACTATTGCTAGAATTATTTTCCCAAGTTCTTTTATTCTAAGTTTCTTGGGGTTCCTTCCTTTCGAGAACATAATTATCTTTGGAGGAGGGAGGTAAGGAGACAGTTTTCAGCCTACCCCAGCTGACCAGGCACCAAGCAGATTTTCTCTCAATAATTCAAGCTAAGAGACATAGAAAGTATAGTTGATGGCAGACACTTGAAGCAAAAAAGTAAATATTTAGAGTTTGGACGGAAACAGCCTTTCTCAGCAATGCGTTTACTGATAAATGAGCAGAGAAAGCCAGTCTGCAGAGAAAGGCAGGAAGATGGAGCAGACCTTCAGAAGCAGAGAGGGGAGACTATGTGTGGACAAAGATGGAAGAAGGTGCTGTCCTGACCAGAGAGCCTCCACTTTTCCCTCACGAAGCTCCTTTGCTTGGGACACAGTGAGTTGTACTGATATGGAATGACCAAGCTTCCTGGTTCCAGCTATAACCTTGGACAGATGCCCACAAATTTCAGAACCTCAGCATCCCACCTGCAAAATAAATGTAATAATAATATTTATATCACAGACTTTGAGAATAAAATACTTTCAGGATCTGATGCCTGGATAAAGGGTGTGTGAGAAGATTGTGTAGTGGCATGGCAGTTACTTTCTGAAGCAGGTACTTAAAGGTTCTCTAGTTGCAAGAGACAAATCTTTCCTGAGTAAAACAGACATAGAAGTGATTGGAAGGATGTTGAACAACCCACAGAGTTGAAGGGGAAGTTGAAGAGCAAAGCCTCAGGAAGGATGTGAAGGATAGTGGCTCCAGAGTCCCCAAAGGCAAGAACTCAAGAGATTTCTCCAGGAGGCTTCTGTCCTGATGACTTGGTTCCAACTACATGTTTTCTATCAAGTCCAAGTTCCTGGTGAGAGAGGCTGACTGGCCTGGATGGGTCCTATTCAGCCCTGGGAGATGGGGAGGGCTGACCCTTTGACTGACAGTCCCAAGACTATCTGGCTGCAGTTACTCATAGGATATTCATCAGGTCATATATTCAGGAGCTCTGTGGAAAAAGAAATGGCTTCCTACTATTTGAAAAAAAAAGTATAGTGAGTATAATGATGTCAAAATTACCCAACTCTCAGTGATATAATGGGGTCTGAACTTTTGTTTTTTGAAAGAGACTAGAATTTTGCACTGAGCTTTTAGAATCCAAGATGAGTTTGGGGATATAAGTCAGGGAGAGGAATGGAGGGAGGAAGGACAGGGCCCACGGAGAAAGGGGATAGTCTGGATAATCCAAGAACCCTGTGGTCTCTGGTAATCACTCTTGTGACTTCTATATAGTCAGTACTCTATCCTTGAAGACATCTTCAAGGCCCACATCTGCCCCACTTTTGTCTTCATCCAGAGTTTTTTTTCTCCTTACCCTACTCAAAGTCCAACCCCCCACCACATGTTCCTACAGAGGCACAAATTGTGTGACCAAAATTCCCCTTTGTGTGCTGAGAAAGCACAGGTAGCAAGAGAAAAAGTAAAGATCCAACAATGAGAAGGGACAAGTGATGATGTGAGATCCCAGAGGAAGCTTCATGGAATAAAGATCCTAAGTGGAGACCTTGGCAGAAGAGAGGAAGGAACCTTTGTACCAGGAGGCAAGGAGTTAAAGATGGCTAGAGTATGGATTTGTTTTGGGGAGGGAATCAGAGAGGCTTGCTTCTCCCTCTGCTCCTCTTTTTCTGAGCATTGGAAAGTCAAGTCATTGGCTGAAAAGAGGTAGGGTTGTGTTGGGAGTCACAGGAATGAGAAGCTTGAAGTATCTGTTGGTAGGACACAGGGCTGGAATGCAACCCACTGAGTGTTGGGACAGTCAACAGCAGTGCAGAAGAGGAGTGAG